GTATGCTGGAGGCATGTAGATGACACATCAACAGTACTTAATACACAGGATCTAGATAGATGTTTCGAAAAGATTTACTCAAAAGTGGAAGCAATTCACTTATGAATCGGAAAATCGGGAAGGGGAACTTCCAATGTTAGATTGCAGCGTAAAAACGAAGGGAAATGGGAAGTGAAACACTAGTGTTTACAGGAAACCCACTGACATATTCAAACAGATATTCGGATTTCCGATCATCCCATCCTATATCAATTTGGCGAAAGGTTTAAGTGACAGAGCACAAAAACTAAGTAGTACCAAGAAACAATCTAAGACAGGAAGTGAAACATATAAGGGAAACCTTGAAACTTAACAATTACCCTTGTAATTCAGTCAGGAAATATGTAGGGAAATATGAAAATAAAATAGATAATGATAGTAGTGATAGTGATAAAAACAATGATAATAATAATAGTAATGATGACATGCATGTGAAACATGCACAGGATAATGACAATACCAACAAAAAGAAATCTAAATCGTCACAAGTACATCCATACAATGAAGGAATCTCGTAAACCTTACGCAGAATTCTTAAAAAAGCGGGCAGCAGTAAAAGTGACATTCAAACCATCCACAAACTCAATTAGGGAAAAGCTTTGCCGGTTAAACGATCCTGTGGAGCCAATAAAACAAAACAATTTAGTCCATCTAATACCCTGCTGGAATGACTGTCAGGTCAAACACATGGGTTAAACTAGTAGAACAGCGGCAGTCAGACTAGATTATTTGACCCGAATATGATAAGAAATCTTGAGAATAGTTCAGCTATACCACTCACTACATTCAATAACACACAACCACACAATAGGCTAGATGGGATAGGATGACAGTTTCAAAATCTCATGCCACAGGGTGGAGGGAAGGAGAGATTGATAACAGAAGCTTTCTTTATCGAATCAACTGCAAACCAACGCGTGTTATAGAAATAATTCAACACCTGTCCCAGATATCTGGAAAATTCTATTACCTCTTCGAAGACAAATAGGAGTAGATAAAGAAAACTATAAAACTCAAGTTTCCAAGTCGTGTGATTACACTTGATATGATTATGAACCATGAATTTTGTTCCAAACTGTGTCATCTAGTAAATAATATTGTTTCGCTCACTGTGAGTGATACATCTAATAAACAAACTAATATGGTATTGCTTTTGAAGGTGGTTCGTATGAATTTACCCTTTCTTCCTCATATAGTACTTTTTACATGAGTCATTATGCTAATTGATTGGTTCATTAATTGATTCAATAGTGCTTGAGACTGTGTGGAAATTTGAATATCGCCTGAGTTTCTCCGTCGAACATATAGTTAAATTGTTACCTTCTTGATGATAGTTGGTGTTAAGTATACAGAAAATATATCTGAGTAAAACACTGTATTCACTTTTTCCCTACGTTCCTCAACAAAACTATGCGAAATGATTACGTGTAAGATGTATTATTAAAAGAATCTAAACACGAAATAAAGCTTCCTTCATTTGACATCTGTAAACACACTGAAATTAGGTCCTCTCAAGCAAGTAAATCCATGATGTTGCTAGTGAACGTATGTCAAATAAGCTTTCGACTGTGCTCTCCTTGATCATCTCTGCTTGTCAGATGCCGTTTAGATTTTGCCTTTTTTCTAAGCATAGAATCAGGTGACATTTGCACTTAAAGTAGAAAGCCACTAGGTGAGTTTACTAGATATACGGGAACAGGTGGACATATACTTTGATTGGACACTTGGTAGTAAGTTACCAGTATCATGTACTTAGCCCTTTCTTTGATGAAATAAGGCCACTGTACCACATGAGTCGCCATCACGGTACCGTGTAAGTTGCTGTTGGTAGCCTCCATGCAAACGTGACTTACAGATTTTAGTCAGTACCCCATGACACTAGCCGCTTATTACGTAGTGTCCGATCAAAGTACCCAGTACAGTCCTACAGAATGTCGATAGCCACCCCGAATAGTTCAATGATGACGTATTCGTCTGCAGCACAGGTTCAAAACTTAGGCCTAAAGCTACCTACTGGCTGACTCCATTCATCTTATAACAACAAAACGCCAAATCTCATTCATAGTTAATAACATACGTGATTGCTGCAAAAACGCTGTGTATTTCGAGGCTATCCTATCAAGCAAGATACTCAAACATCTTCGCTTAGGCTTTCTCATTACCCTGATGCATATCAGCTCCAAAAAAATACACCAGACCCCAGCCAACAGAAGTACTATCGCTTGGCACAAGGAACAGATAATCTGCATACACTGCTGAGCATTCACAATAACTAGCACCATTAATCCCTTGGAATTGTTGGGAAGCTCTACTGCTGCGCATATGAGCACAAACTGTCACCCGACAAAAACGACATTACTCACTAGAGTATGGAAGGGCTGGAAAGCTTAATCCATTGAAAAATTATTCTCCCTAGGTGTCTAAAATAAAAATATAAAATTAAATAAAATGCCTGATCAATAAGCAACAATTGAATTATATGTGTGCAAACCAAGTTCACTTTTAACAGTTTGAAAAAAATTCGACATTGGGTATATGATATTCACTATGATAAAGGTTTCTGTATTTCCCTATGAATGAAAAACAAAACGATATAGCTGGTTTTACTGACGTTTCGCTATTTAATGCTAATACCTTTATCAAAGTAGAAATATTAAACCGGAATTTACAAAATCTCAGCATATATACAACAAAGAGTTAGGGGGTGAGATAATAGACTTAGGTTAAGTTAAAAGGACATACAGAAAGTCAAAATAACAATGAAGATCACTAAACCTAATAGCAAAGGTAATAAATAGTACATCTGTTATGATATCAAAACAAAGTTCACTGACTTGATCACCGTTCTTCAGTCTCTGGGGGGCATTTTTCGTTGTCAAGTTGGTCAGTTGGTAAAGATAACACATGAGAAAGAAAACGAAGAAGAAATAACAAACATTACTGAAACTCTCAAGCCAAACAACTACTACCAAGGAACTTCATCAACAAAATCAACACAGACATTAAGTATGGCCGAAAACGCATTCCGAAAACATGAACCTCAACAGTCGTCATTCTATATAGGGCAGAGACGTCAGACGATATCAGAAGAGTACTCAATCAGCTCGACATTAGAGTTTTAGCAATAAGAAGACGTAATTTGTCTGAATCGTGTAATGTATTTGCGCAACACATTTCGAACAATCTGATCACACACGGACTTGTCATAGGAATATATATATATAAAATTAATAAAGAGGTAAGAGGTGAGAAAAATAGACTTAGGTCAAGTTGAAAGGACATATTCAAGGTCAAAAAATAAAAATGAAGACCACTAAACCAAATAGCAGAGGTAATAGTACATCTACTCTGGTTGGTATCAAAACAAAATTTACCAAGGAAGGTTTAATGTGATGACAAATTGTTTTTGAACGCATAAAGGTGGCTTGAACTTTCTAATTGCTAGGGCTTCTACAAACTTTAGGATACGCCCCAAACACGTTTTATAGATAGGTTTAAAAGATCTGTTAACATCAATTTTATGACCTGTCTCTATAATATGTTTCGCAATAGAAGAGCTAGGTCTCCTGTTATCACCGTTAATAGGTTCTGATGATTCCATTTGTTTCTGGAGCCATTTAGGAATATGCTCTGAAGCCCTTACTTGCAGAGATCGATGAGTCCTCCCTATGTATGTGTGTCCACACGTACATTCAAATTGGTAAATACAGTGGGATGTGACGTCATTTTTCGCATGTTCGAAGGGCTTAGATAGATATAATGGCTTTACATTCTCTAATATTATGATATTAGCTGCAAAACATCAGACACAGTGCAAAGCAACCTTGTCCATATGAAAGACCAAATCCCTAAAGATCCTCTGTCTAATTGTGTCTATAAAATAAAATGATTGGAGTGTGATGCGATCTACACCGGACAAGCATCTCGAAAAATCAAAGTCAAAAGAAATGAACACCGTAGAGCATCTGTTTAACTACGGAGAAATCCAATTGAACTAGAAAAACTTGAAAAATCATCAGTCATAGCTCGTCTACACGCTATAGAATCACGCCACAAAATTGATTTTGACAATATTTAAATCACCATCCAGAAAAACTTCAGAAATCACAAAGAACGTCTAATATCAGTAGTACTTCAAATCAAGTGGAATCTAAATTACGTCAATAGGAATGATGGACTAAAACAGAATCTGACCTACTTACAACAACTCGCTCACCCATGGAGTGACAAAATCAACATGAATGTGGTAAGTAATTTCACACACTACTTTTATAATGTCACACACTGATCAAATCCAACATTCCACACTTGAATTTGTTAATTTTACCAACTGACCAGCTTGACAACGAAAAATGCCCCCCAGAGACTGAAGAACGGTGACCAAGTCAGTGAACTTTGTTTTGATATCATAACAGATGTACTATTATCTTTGCTATTAGGTTTAGTGATCTTCATTGTTATCTTGACTTTCTGTATGTCCTTTTAACTTAACCTAAGTCTATTATCTCACCCCCTAACTCTTTGTTGTATATATGCTGAGTGGATTTTGTAAATTCCGGTTTAATATTTCTAGCTAGTGGCTTGAAGTTTCTGTAGCAGTATTTAATTTTTACATGATGGGGTTGCTAGCCTCATGCTCAACCTTTTCTCTTTACCAGGATTATTTCTGGCTCAGTGAGGTAAAGGGGTGCACCGGCCGGGGATCGAACCCCGGACCATATGCATGGTCGGCGAACGTGCTAACCGCTATACCACCGACGCACTTATTTATGCATTGAATGTCATTTAAATAATATATCCAAGGAAATTTCAAGAAATGCCAAGGCGTAGTAGAATTCACGACAGACACATCAAATGCATATGTATGTATATATGTAAAGATCACCCGATTCGATGAAGATATGACAAGTGTACATACATATATGTATATATAACTATATATATACATATAACAGTGATGTAAAGAAGTCTTTCAAAACCGCACAAAGTAGTGTACAATGAAACATTTGTGGATTATCAGCCTTCTTCTATTCGTATTTGTAGCACATCAATCTGTTGTGTCTGCTGGTACGTTATCCTTTACGAAATAAATGTCTATTACGATGCATTTTTTCATACGTGTACTGAAAGCTTTCAATTCTTTGGCACAAAAGTATTCCTTTGGTATTCTCTCGTCATAGATTTTGATTATGTCCTTGGATAAGTTCAAGCTAGATTTCAGAAAAGAACGTTCAAATTGATCTATTCCACCATATACTGAATATTTCGATGAATAAATATTGTGTTTTTCATTGGCAATAAGTTGTGATCTTTGAGCTGATTGGTTTAATTGTGAAGCTTACGTCCTCCTACTGAACAACATGTTCAGCGCAAGTTTTAGCATAAAATGAACGGATCTTCTTTTGTGACTTGTAGTCGATTTACATCTGTATTGATCATTATTTTATTGACTTGGAATTTGAACTTTCTTGTCGCCTGTTTTACTTTTTATTAGTTATTATTATTATTATCCAAAATATTATTCCCTTGCATTCCAAGTGTAACTTAGGGCTTCAGCAACATATATCCAATTCGTTCTGTTTTCTGCCGCCCTTTTCAGCTGGGCCTACGATTGACCATAATTTCCCACCTCTTCCTCTCCACACGATCTCCTCCATGTCACCTTTGCACCGGCGACCCACTCGTTGCTTTCTCACTGAGATTCCATTTGAGGGCCTAGCGTGCTATCCAATTCGGCGGCTTCCTCAATGTATTCCCGGACCATCCATCTCCATTTTCTCCTACATATTTGTTGAGTGATCAGCTCTCGTCGGTTGGTTTGTTCCCATAGTTTCTTCTGGTTTATTCTTTTGGGCCATTTGATCTTCAGTATGGAACCAATTGAAGGTAGCTGTTGATAAAAGTCTGCAACAGGCTGTTGGAAATTCAGTGCGTCACACACACTGGTCAAGTTGCTGACCCGTATAGAAGGATCAACTTGAAATTAGTGTAGAAAATGCGAACCTTGTTCCTTGTTCTGAGTCAATGCGGAAGATTATCAGATTGGTTTTAGGTTGATGAAGCTGTATCTTGCATTTGAGATTCTGACTTTGACACTTTCATCCGTTCTGTCCGCCTGCAGTTGAAACAATGCTTCCCAGATAAGTGAAAGAGGCAATCTCTGTTAAATCGCCCCCGTAAATTTGGTGTATATTAATATGTTTTTGAATCTTTGATTGAATATTAGTCAGTAACTAGTGGAATATGCCTAGTCCTACTTTCGCCGAAGACTGAATTCTATCAGTCAGGCTTGAAATGTGACCACTATGCCACACTAGGTGGCTCGTCATAACGGTGCACTGTGAACTGATGGTATTAGATGGTTGGAGGCAATCGGCAGGAAGCGTTGGATCTAGTTTTCCTGCTCTTTGGCACTCATCAACAAGACGTATCTGCAACCTTGAAGGGACTCATGTCCCTCAGCTTCCTGCCGATTACCTTGAACCAGCTAATTCCAACAATTTTTTTTCTTTGCTGAATTGTAAAGAAGGATGACAGTTGTTGAATACAAACAAGACGTCATCAAGAATTAAGTCCTTTTCGCGAATAACGACAGTGTTATCTACCTGTTATTATCGATTGTTAAAGCGACCTATAGTTTGACTAAGCTGAGAGTTTTTCAAACAATCAAATAAGAAGGGTGATATGTATCCACATGATGTGCGTTTTGTTGTGACAGTCTATCACATTTTTTGCTATTTGTATATAGATCGATAATCCATTATAACTGACAATATGCTTTTGTCTGTCACCTAACTAAATAAACATGTATGACCTTGTTGTCACATGATATTACAACCAATCATGTCAAGACTGGCTATTTATTGGTTCATGTGTATTAGTCATTTTCATATATACTTTTGATTAGACACTTGTACATTATTCTGTTTCCCACGTTCGTACATCTAAGTACCCTTCCACTCACACTCTTGTGTGACATTTATTTTCCTTGTCTGGAAAATACAAGTAACATCGTGAACGAAGCGGTCTTCTGATTTTTCTCTTTCCGCATCAGGACTATTAACTACTCGACGAGTACATAACAAAGGGACCCAGTAACGACCCTATTACAATGATATCTCTCCGTCTAAAAATCTCATTATCGAAAGTTTACTAAGCAGACGTGTATCGCATTCCATTTTTTCCGTATTTTCACCTTGGTACCTAATTCTTGTGGAGATATTAGTTAAATAAAGGCTTGATAGACTGTTAATGGTCATACTATCTCAGATAACCACGAGTCAGCAGACTGACGACTGAAGGTGGAATCAACTTCAGGTCAGCGATGACAATAAAACCTACTCCATCCTACTTAAATGCTTTTTCAGCTGATTTATGAGGGCGAACGGATAGTCAGGTGAACATTTTACTGCATTTATCATCGTTACATGTTAGTTTAAATGGTACTATGAATTATTAAATTACATGTTGATTTTTATCAGTTGACCGCTTAAACTCTAAAATATTCTGTTTCTCTTCGCGTGATATTCCAAAAAATCTCTTACAGGAGCTCGCGAGCAACAAAACACTTATGAGTATGTTGATTATGTTTACTTTATGCCTAATGTTATACAACTAATTAAATATTAATATTAACGATAATTTGCTTTATTCCAGAAACAGTACTAGTGATACAGTATGGAATTTTCAGCACATATCTACATTATTGCATCTAAATTTATCGCACATTTAAAAGGAGTATTCCAAAAAAAGGAATATAAAAGCAACAAAAACAAACAAAAAACCCAAAAATAACAAAAACGATGCAAAAAAAATTACCAAGAAGTAGGAAGGAAAATAAACAACAATGACAAATAATATCTCAGTATTGGGTAGTGGAAGCTATGATATGTGTATGCGTGGTGAACGGTAACAGCTATAACCATACAAGAAGTTATGAGATGTTCTTAAGAATGTTTATAGCCAAGATGATCAGTTAAATTGATTGAACTACACTAAACAATCATAAAATAAACGTTTCAGGGATTTTTATTTTTATTGTCAGCACCAATGCAGTGTTTGTTGTGGTAGTGTGAGTAATCCTGAATAATATAAAATTTTTAAGATGGTGATAATCGCGTTCACAAACAAGATTGTCAGTTAAATAGTGCCGAACAAAGAACAACCACAAAACCAATATTACATGATGCTTAATAACAGGACAATTTGTAATAATCATAGTGATAATATAGGCGGACCCAATAGATATACAAAAGAAGGAATAGAATAAAGAATAAAAAAGTATGCCAATGATAATGATTTTAAGTAACTAAGTATGTTTAAGAAGGTTGTTCACTATAGAGTACAAATAAGAACGTGTAAGAGGGAAATAACAAGGGCCAGAATTATGTTATTAACAACAAAGCAAGTCATAGGTCTCGCGGTTAACATTGTCTCTGTCACTTAGAACACGGGCCAAATATGGTATCGTTGAGTTCTTGTAATTGGTTGTACGAGCATATGTTATATTATACTTATTTCTGTTTCTACATAATGAGAAACGAAGAGAGAGTCGGGAATACAGGGGGCGTTGGGGGTTGGACAGTATGGTTTTAGTCCATTTTTCGCATGTATTCAGATGACTTTCTGCACTTAATTCATCAGTTTTATGGTAATTCTCAGAATCACTATTTGTAGTTTGCACAGTTCAATGGTGGGAAAGTTCAGCATATTTTTCTCGGGAAAACAAGATAATTCGGATCATAATGTGCAATTTTTCTGAATTCATCAGTGGTATTCAAGAAAATAGCAAATTAAAGTAATACCAGTTCGCTTAAGTTGCCATCCAGAAATTGGCTGTTTTCAACTGATTCAGCTCCCTGAACTGAGTAAGACTTGGTATACCACCAGTAAGCTCAGCCACTACGGAAAGAAGCATCCTTCTGGGGTTTGGATACATTTGGTCTGGTGGCTAATGTCTGTTGGTTAATGTATGTGTGGTATTCTAACACTCATCACAATCGATTGCCAGTATATTGATTTACGCATTTATCACATGGTTATGTCGCCATATGCAGAAACAATCAAATGGAGTAATGATATTTAATTGTTGGTAAACTTTATTTGAGAAAGTCTCACAGTGTGTTATACAGTAATATTTATTGATAACCACGTTTCGAGCACAAATTATTACCGGACGCAGTCATCATATCAAGACACTACTCACACAACTTTCTAACTTCGTTTATATAATTCCATTATTTCCACACATCGCTTGATTTTATTGATAGTAGTATTTTCCATAACCCCGGTGTGAGTGATGAGTCATTTCCTATTGCATGTGTTGGGTGTAGATATACTCGATGAACAAGGATTCAGTAATTAACTTCAATCTCTTAACCCACCTACGAGCCCTTTGTGTGGTTGTGTGTCAATGCCTGCAGTGCATTGCTAGTGATGAGTTTTTTCTAAGTTACTTTTCTTGTAGAGGTCCACTATTCTTACATTAACTAAATTCTTATATTCTGACAATAGGACTACCCCGACATATTGATGTGACCTATGCAGACGACCCATTTCACAGACATTGCAAAGTATTTTGTAAATTATATTATTTTATCTTATTGAGTCGGATAGATAGAAGAAGCGTTTGTATCAAATAACTATCCTATAAAATTCATTAGGAAGACCAGAAAAGGTCAAAAGCAAAATAAAAATTGTGGTGAGCCTAGTTACGATAACATAAATAAGAAAGAATATAGGGCATCTACTGTTATACCGTATAATTACGGGATATCTGAGACCCTTCGTAGCATTTATAATAAAACAGGAATTAGAGTGGCATTTAAACCTAAAGGCGAAATAAGAAAATTTACAAAATACCCTACAATGTCTCTGAGTTAAGTCAACTACCTGGTTCAAACTAGTAGTCAGATTGTCAGAACATAAGAATTTAGCTAAGGTAAGAATGGTTGACCCTAAAAAGATAAGTAATTTAGAAAAAACCTCAGCAACTGCACTGTACTGCATGCATTAACGCACAGTCACACAATAGGGTGTGACAGATTCAAAATTCTAAATAGTAATATAGGTAGATGGAGAGTGGGAGAGACCGACTACTGTATCCTGACTTGTTCATCGAGTCTACACTCGACACATGCAATAAGAATGTCTCATCACTCAAATCGAAAATATGGAAAATACCATTACCAATCAAATCGAGCGATGTGTGGAAATAATGGAATTATATAAACGAAGTTAGAAAGTTATGTGAGTGATGCTTTGATGTGATTATGAGCAGAGATAAATTGTGCTCAAAATGTGGTTATCATTAAATATTACTGTATACCACACTGGGAGACTTTATCAAAATAAATTTTACCCATAATGGAAATATACCCTACCACGGTGCACACAATGATAAGTTTTGTTATTGATAATTTTGCTCGAAATATTACCAATAACAAAACTTATCATTGTGTGCAAACTATTGAAATATAATTCTTCTTTATTTAGTGATATGGTCTTTATAACCCACATAACTTTTTTAACAGCATCCACAATAATTCTGGTTTCACTGTTTTCTTTGAATAATTACACAAATCTATGCTTTAACCATGTTTAGCAATTTAAATTGGCCTGCTTTTTGGCAGTAAGTTACCTATTATGCGTAAATATATGATGTTAAACAATACACAGTTTAGCCTAACAGTTTTCATTGCATTCCATATGGAACTCAAAGCTTCAAACTTAATCTCTAGAATTTCAGTACCACTGGTGTTTTTGTTTACACGACATGATGTTGGTAGGCCAACGCCTAACTTTCACTCTTTGAAATGTCTTACCGCCGATTTGGCGAGGCTCAGCAGTGAGTTGACGGGGACTCAAACCCCAGAACACTTAGGGCGTGGTTGGCTAGTGTCCCACGACTGAATCACTAACACACAGACTACAATGTAATCGGTTATTTGCATAATGTTTTTCTACATAACATGTATCACTGACCTATGTATCATTTAGAAAAGGCCTTTCGGTAGTTTCGACGACGAAGTAATCTGCAAACCTTTTAGTACCATACCGTGCTCCGCATCTTTGTCAGCCTCATTTAGCACCACTATACAACAGTGCAAAGTGTCGTGTGATCCACAACGTAGAACTCAGCGCAGCCGTTGAATTGACTAAGGGATAATGAACAGGGCTCGATGTCCACTACTAGAGATGATTACGCTGGTGATTACACCGTATGTAAGAAGCCAGAAGACAGAAATGAGCTCGATCGATAAAAAAAGAATCTAGATGATATGGACATCGTGGTGAATTTCTGCCTGATGTCAGATAAATCTGAAGAAAAACAGATGAAAAGCAACACAAAGGTTAAAGTGGAAGAAAAAGACGGAACATCAAATGAATATAGAAAAGACGGAGGTGATGAAGATTGAACAGTAGAAATTTGAATGAGGTCATTTCCATCACTTGTGTTAACATGCAACGTCTCCACTACAGGCAGCACAAATGTGGATTTCAAAGCCAGCAAGAATGGTAAGGCAAGACAGACCTTATCATATCATTATTACTACAATTGTTTCCTTCAGTTCCCGACGGGGGGGAGGGACACAGGACTTCACCCGCACGTCTCTATTGCATTCGGTTCTCTGCCAACGTTTACCCATATGCTTTCATCACCTCTTCACATATCCTCATCCATGTCACCTTCGCACTGACTACCAAACCTCCTGTTTCCGTCTGGGTTCCACTCGAGAACCTTCCATTTCATATGCTTTCTCATATTACCGGTACTTGAATACCATATCTTTCATCTCCTTTGCAATCTGGACATTCCATGTCCCCACACAAGGAGTCTCATTTTACTGAAGTTTCTGTAGCAGTTTGGTTTACTGGTTATGGCTGCTAACCCCACGCCTGAGAAGGGGGTTATTACATGTATGTATAATTTATAGAGGAGCGTATTTATGGGTTGCTTTCCTTAGAATCAGGAAAACACGGAATAAAGCAATCAGAACAACACCAGCAAAAGCAGAAATATTCACAACGGGATGGGCAGCGACAGCAACGACAAAAAAAACCGTAGCAGTAGTATCACTGTCAAAAACAGTTAATAAAAAATGATGCCAAAACCATAGACTCAATTACCTGAGTCAACTAGTCTTTGTAAATCTAAAAGATTATACAATTATAGATATTAGTTCGTGTTATACAGTCACAAAAAGGCCAAAACTTTAGTTATAGGTTTTATTAGTCAACAAGATTACATTCAGCGATTGAGTGTTTGAAGTTTAACTAATTACAGCATATTCCACAACTTCCGGGTGGGAAACACCAGATCAATGAGAGTGTTATGTAACTAAGCAAACCTAGCCTACTAGTCGAAAAGCGCGACAACGTCGTTTTTCAGACATACCTTAATCGCCTTAAAATTAGTTTGTGAATCTGTTACACTTGGCGTAAGTAACAAGATTCGAATTTTCAATAAAAATTTGAGATCAGTTCCTCTATACGGACCAGAAATGGTGTGTCACGTTAAAGAAATGCTAAACCTTGCTTCCACCGCTTCACACTGGAGAACATATGGTGAGGAAGAAAGAACAAGTAATCAAAACCTCAGGGAAACAGGGAGACGAATGAGACACACGCCGAGGAGACCACTGAGTGACATCGGGCACCAGACCATTATTCTAGTAATGATTGATGGAATTGGAAAGCGTGGAGATGCGATTCATGGGTGTCATGGAGGAGATATAGTGTAAAGAGGCGATGAGAGCCTGTGAGCAATTTTGTGACAAGATAAATAAGGCTTTAGATATCAGGATAAAGTGAAGACGTGCTTTTGAGGGTCTATTTTCCAGCGGAAAACAATGGGAACAACGACAATAATAAAGATATGTATGTTAATGTTTTACTAAACTTAAGCTTTATCTTTTCAATATTCTCACCATACACATAAAGAAACTTTAAGCGATCTCACTTACTTTAAATTATTATTATTATTATTTAGGCGGTGGTTGGATGGGGTAGCGTAAGTTATACAAGCCATACAGCTGTTTTACTAAGTTCATTTTGCCTCCCGTGAAAAATAGAATTTGCGTTATTTACACATAAATATTGACACCAAGTAGCGTGTTAACGCTTGAAAGATGCATTTATGAGGCTTTGATAGCCTATAGATTGTTTATTATTGTAAAACTTCAGACTAATGCAAGCATAACGAATGCTTACTCATCAAATTATAAAACACAAAATAATTGAGCAAAGAAGATTCTCCTTTCGATAATTTCCTCTTCTGGCTCTACAATTAGAAATCTGTATGTTTATATACACAGAGTATTCTAGATTAGTAGTCAGTAACAATATTAGTGTGCTTTTCAAATAATATCGATTTGTAAAGTAAGATCACAATGGAATTACCACAGTTCATTAAAAATGCTTAAATAATAATATTAAAGATATATTAGCGAATAGAATATCAACTAAAATTGGACGAATTCCCCGAAAATTCAGGATCATTCACACCTAGATGAACAAGGTGATGATAATGACTAAACTAACTTCTTTTAGATTTATAAATTAGGCTTGTTAATATGGATCTCTACAGCCTTAGCAATATTCAGTAGTCGAACACTTGAGGCAAAATTGAGTTTCGTAGGTAGGCGGTAAATGACCTGAAAGCAGTCTGGTTAACGTCAATCTTGTGTTATGCGTGCACAAGATGAGATAGAATAGCGCTGCGAATAGATTTTGTTTGTCCTTAGCTTAACTAAGCAGGTGATGCTCGGAAATTCGACAAGAAACACGACTAATTGCACGGCCTATGTGAATGGCTCCACAGAAGCAGTTACATTGGTAGATACACATGGAAGAGGCGAAATTAGGCATTTTGTCTTTTACTCTCGAACGCAAAAAAGTAGTGGTTTTGAAGACACAGAGTAATTCGGCAGCAGGGTATGCTCTTTTTACCACATGTGTTTACCACCGTGTATTAGTATTTCGCTGATGTTGTCCCCAAACAAACTGCATTTGTAAGAATAAGGCCTCTTTAGAAACTGTTGGCACCTTGGGCTGCTTTGATTTTAGATCCCTATTCTTATCAATAAGCTTTTCTGGATAACCATTTTCAATCAGCAACTGTTTAATACTATTAAGTTCCACCGAGCAGATCGCTCTTGCTCTGTGAACCAAGCGCTTTATCAGATTGTGTTTGTATTTCAAGGGCACGACACTGAAGAAAAGAGTATACTGACCAGCTGATATAGGTTTTCTACATACACTTCTTCTTATTGTGCTATCCTCTTTTCTGATCATAAGGACGTCCAGAAATACTAGGATACTAGAAATACTAGAGACTTTTTTCCTCTCAATAGTGAAATTTATTGCAGAATGAAACTTGTTTAATTCATCCCAGGATGTTCTTTGCTTCATTCTCATGTTTCATAACCAAAAATGTGTCAGTCATCCACGTACCGACAATAGAATTCAAGTACATCAAAAATATCTTTCAAAGGCCCATTTTCTAGCTTCACAAGAAAAATGTTGGCTTGAATGTGTCCTATTGATGACCCCATTGCCACAGAGTCGATTTGTCTTCATAGTTCCTTAATTCTTTGCTCGATTTCTTTGTGTTTTATAGATGTCTGAATGAATATTTTTGCTATATTGAAATTAGCAAAACAACGCTAGTTCATAAAGGTTTAATGCAACGGTAGTAGAAGACAATGCAGAACACCCCTTCAGTAATCTTTGTAAATCCCAATTATTTGATGTTAAATCTATTTCTATGATATTTTATATTTTGGTTCCGATAATCTTCTCTTCATATACTACTGATACATCTTGTCAGTAGTATGCACAACACTGTCATTTAATTAACAAATAAGGGATAACAGTCACCCACTTTATTCAAATATATCTGATTCATTCAAGTCATCATAACTAAAAGATATGCCGTAGAGCATCTGATCGACCAACCAACTAGAAATCCAGTTTCTGAACTAGAAAAGCTCCGAAAAATCATCAGCCATAGGTCATCTACAAGCTGTAGAATCAGGTCATACAATTCATTTTGACATATTGAAATCATCATCCAGAAAAAGCATTCCAGATGTCACAAAAAACGTCTAATTTTAGGAGCACTTCATGCCATCAAATGGAATCCTAATTGTCTGAATAAGAATGATGTACTAAACCAGAATTTAACGGGGTTATAACATCCTTCTCCTTCATGAAATGACAAAATTAACACGAATGTGGCAGTTTAAACAATTACTCTTTTTGATAAATTTGTATAAGGCATTTCGAAGACGAATTTCGCGAGATGATATCGTCATTTCGTAGTTTCTTTATAACCGCCTGTACAACTAACATGATTAACAATAATAAAATAAAATTCGTAACAATTACTCAGTAAAATAAAAAAACAAAAGTACGTGCTAATGACCAATCATATTTATATAGGTCATGTAGTCCATGGTAGGCGAAGATTGAAGTCTATTCATTTTTGTACATACAGTTTAGGCTGTATGTGATTAATCCCTCAAAGTGCTTCCATCACCTTCAATAGCCAACCTTGAATTAGAGTTACGTGATTAGATAATTGTGAAACAGTCATTAATATTGATTTTGTGACCTGACATTAATAGGTGTTTTGCAATTGACGATGATGCTGGTTTTCTATTCAGATTAATCGCGTTGGGACTTTCTATGTGATTAAGTAGCCATTTTGGAACATGTTCTACCTTTATATGCGTGTATCTCCGCAACTGCAGGTGAACTTGTAGATACAGTTTGAAGTAGAGTCCACAAAATTTCGTCCTTTAATCGTAGGCACAGGGATCGAAAATGTTCGGCATGTGAGAAGAAGAGATGCGGCATAGAATGTGCGTTTGATGTCTCGCCGAAGTCTTTGAGCTGTCAACTGCATAATCTGGTCGCCCTTGAATGGTAGGTTAATAAAGACGGCTTTGAAATAATAGAAAAGATTTGTTAATCAGGTGGATGATTTGCAATTAATAGTGTTCTCTGAGCTGGTTGGTTTAGTTGCGGAGCTTTCGTCGTCTTTCTGGACGGCATCTTCAGCGCAGTATTTAGCATAAAGTTAAACGATTTAAAAATCTCCATGAATGATGATACATTGATGATGAGACGCAATTGTATCATCGTTCATGGAGATTTTTAAATCGTTTAACTTTATGCTAAATACTGCGCTGAAGATGCCGTCCAGAAAGACGACGAAAGCTCCGCAACTAAACCAACCAGCTCAGAGAACACTATCAATTGCAAAAAGACGGCTTTCTTTGATATAGAAACTGTCTTTTCGAGATGGGGTCTTTCTTAACTGTGAGAAGATATAAAGTTTTCTGAATAGCCATTAGCTAGTAAAACTGAATGTATATGTCGACACTCATCCATTAATGTGTCACTCGTGCATATTTATGACAAGGAATTTCATTATGTAAACGCACGCTGCTTTTATAATTTTATACACTTATCAAATCCATCAGTCTACGCATGATGGCTTTTTTGTCTTTACCAATTGGCCAACTTGAAAACGCAGATATGACTGGATGCTGAGGGACGATGATTAAGTTGTTATTATTTAAGCCTGAGTTCGTATATTCTGGTTTAAGAATGCCACTTTGATAAAGCTATTAGCAGCAGCATTAAATAGCAAAGCGTCAGTAAAAGCACCAATATCGTTTTATTTTTCATCAATTAGAACATACACCAAAACGTTTATTACAGTGAAAAGATATACCAGTTGATGTATAACAATTTGAGGTACGTTCGCCCAGTACAATAAATTAAGCCAGTGCAGCAGTCTCAATTAGGAGTATTAGTGTATGTTCTATCTTCTGCATCTACAGCCACTGGGTCTGAAGGCTTTGGAAAAGTGTCAATGGGATCAAAAGAGAAAAGCAGAAATTTAGAAATTTAGAAATGTAAACCAATCATGGTGTTTTGTCTATAGGATAATAAGATGGTGAATATAAATTGTGCAACTAGTCATACTAGTAATAATAATAATAATAATGGTCTTATCAATAATAAGGATGAAAAGGTGAGGCAATCTGTGGTAACACGAATAATGAAAACAACAGGAATAAACAAACAAATGTAATGGTGTAAGTAGTCGATAAAGGCTAGTAAAAACAAATGAACCGATTAAGTAATACTAGATTGTAAGGGAAGTAAATAAGACACGTTTTTAATGAACATCTGATAAGATTATAGGATCATAAGAAAGGGTTGAAAATATAAACAAGTGGTGGTGTAGAAGTCATTATTTGGTTAGTCTTAATATGCCAGGGGAGGGATAATGCCTGTGGAAACTTCTTTTGAATTCATAGTTATGGTTTAATAGTTTGAATGCCTATCATCTCAGCTGTGTGCAGTAGACGAGTACGAAGTCTATTGGAAAGATTCGGTGGTATACATTGAATTACTTTGAAAGCTCTCGTTTTCTTCACTACATGACCACTATCAATTAAACAAGACAAAAGTGGAGCTACGGATTTTTTTGTCTGTCTTTTGCCAAACTACAATGGGGTGTGTTCACTAACACGTTGGCCAGTCTGTCTAGTAGTACGCCAAACATAACTGTCAGTGTAGGTGCAGTTGAATTTATAAATGCACATAGATGTGTGGTAGAACTATCTAGCTTATCCTTCGTTAACGTCTCAATCATTCTTCGTCTATAGAATGAAAAACATAGGTGTGCTGTGTAAAACGTTCTTCGTATACTCCTGGAAGGTCTCTGGAATAAACTCTCACTTGATAAGTCACCGTTAAATTGTAACTAAATAAATGGAGGCTGTTTGTGTGCAGTCAAAGTGTCAGGTTTTTTCTCCGATGTTTACATATATTTCTTTATGAAACTACTCGGATAGCTTATCTCCTTCAAGGAATCATGCATATATTCAAATACATTTTGTAACAGGTCATCCGTACACATCTTTATTGCTCTGCTCACAAGACATTCAACAACATTCTTTTTATATTTAATGGGCACGTAACTAAGAAAGTGTGTGTATTACCCTATGAATGTGCTTTTTCTATACACGCTTCTCTCAAGTGACCCATCTTCTCGCCTACTTAGCAAGACATCCAGAAAATATAGTTTATTCTCCCACTCCTCTTCACAAGTAAAAGTAGGTGAAGGATGGACGTTGTTGAATTTCGGAAACAATACGTCTATGTTAACATCCCCATCAGATAAGATAAATGTATCTTCAACATATCGGTAATAAATATCAAACTCCTTGATGATGTCTTTCAATTTCCCGTTTTCAAGTTTTGCGAGAAAGAAGTCATCTAACACTAGAACTAGTAGTGAACCCATAGCTATTCCATCTTTTTGTCGGTAGTGAGAATTATTGAAGACAAAGTGAACATTCATTGTACATTTGAGAAGTAATTCTTTGAGGCTACACAAATGGATTCCTGAGTCCAAGGTATAAGCACTTGTAATACATGGATGTATCATTACTATTCACTAATGCACCGCTCATGGAGATAGTAGATTACATTTGTCAAGAAATCACCGAAAGACCATTTGAGTTAAGAATTCCCTTGTATAGTAGCCTCAAAGAATTACTTCTCAAATGCACAACGAATGTTCACTTTGTCTTTAGTAATTATTACTACCGACAAGATGATGGAATAGCTTTAGGGTCACCATTAGTTCCAATGTTATTTGACTTCTTTCTCGCAAAACTTTTATTATTTTTATTTTGTAAGCTCATGTATATTACTGTTAGGCCTGATGACATCTAATTAAAAATAATAGTGTTCGCTTAAATGTGTTGTTTAATATTTTACTATGGGAATATTTAATATAGTAATATTTTTTTTATTGTTATGCATATAGCCAATTTCACGAAAACTATGAAATTTATCATGAAATCTATTAAAAGAATTCTATGCATTGATTGTTCTTATGTTGCTTTGATTATTTCGTTAGAAGTATGTTTAACGCTGTCTGGTAAGTCACATTAGACAAAATAATATTTGCTGTGGAGAACATTTCAATCGGTAACAAGAACTTTTTGTAACTTCAGTTCATAGTTGTGCATTACGGATATAAGGGTAAAACTTGGGCACTGTGGTAGAGTATAACAACATTATGGATAAGATTTTATTTTGATAAGTATCACAGTGTTTGTTGTACAGTAATATTAACTGATGACCACGTTTCGACCACAAACTATTGGCGCTCATAATCATATCAAGTCACTACTCACAAAACTTATTTCCTTCATTTATATAGATGTGTGGAATCGATTAGATATTAGAAATAAAAATCAATATAGGATAATGTACATTCAGAAATAAAACTATGCGTATTAGCAACCAAATACAATTAGATGGGAAATAAGACGAATGTTTTTATAGTCATAATAAGCAACATGTTTGAATATTGTGATGTGTTTGAATTGAAATAGAATTTTAAGATTATTTATTATCCTCCTCTGATTTGACTGACAGGTGACAATAATATCTTCCATATTTCTGGTATTTGCATTGAGTCATTTCTGTTGCATGTGTTGGGTGTAGATTCACTCGATGAACCAGGATTCAGTAATCAACCCCTCTCTCTCTCTCCACCTACCTATATTACTTCTCAGAATTTTAACTCTGTTCCACCCACCAGGATGTGTGGTTGTGTGTTAATGCATTCAGTTCAGTGCAACTACTGAGCTTTTTTTCTAAATTACTTATCCTCTCAGGGTCAACCATTCTTACCTTAGATAAATTCTTATGTTGTGATAATCCAATTACCCCCAACCTACTAGTTTGACCTATGCAGTGGACCTCACTCACAGTCATTTCAGGGTATTTTGTAAATTATATTATTTTGTCTAATTGGGTCAACTGGGTCCTTTAACCTACAGAGCTAGTCCCTCAGGGAGTTTGTAGGTTGAAATGCCACCCTAATTCCTATTTTATTCAGAATCCTACGTAGTGTCTCAGATGTCGCCTCCTTATATGCTATAACAGTGGATGACTTATTTATGCTATCATTACTAGTTCCACAATTATTTTTATTTTGTTTTTGGCCTTTACTGATCTTCCTAATGAATTTTATAGGATAGTTATTCAACACTAACGCCTCTCCTTTCTGTTTTATTTGATCATTAAGGTCTTTTTGTGCTACTCAGTGCTACTGCTCGGTTTGTTAGACACTTAACTAAGCCAGCCTTAACAGTTCATGGATGAGACGAATTAAAGTCTAAATATCTTTTAGCACAATGCGTTGTTTTTCCATAAACACTAGTGTGTAGTTTGCCTTCTTCTGTTCTTTTTATCTTACAATCTAACATAGCCAATTCTCTCTCTTAATACATTTACTCCTATTCCAAACATATGGTGGAGATATGTGGATGACACCTTCACAGTGTTAAAAACAAAAAATATCTCTAGCTTCTTCACATATATATACTCACTAGTAGAGGGAATAAAATTCACACTCGAATTGGAAAATGAACAAGGAGAATTGCCTATGTTAGATTGTAAGATAAAAAGAAAAGAAGGCAAACTATACACTAGTGTTTATAGAAAACCTGTGAAAGAGTTCCACTGCATAGGTCAAACTAGTAGGTTGGGGGTAATTGGATTATCACAACATAAGAATTTATCTAAGGTAAGAATGGTTGACCCTGAGAGGATAAGTAATTTAGAAAAAAAGCTCAGTAGTTGCACTGAACTGAATGCATTAACACACAACCACACATCCTGGTGGGTGGAACAGAGTTAAAATTCTGAGAAGTAATATAGGTAGGTGGAGAGAGAGAGAGAGGGTTGATTACTGAATCCTGGTTCATCGAGTGAATCTACACCCAACACATGCAACAGAAATGACTCAATGCAAATACCAGAAATATGGAAGATATTATTGTCACCTGTCAGTCAAATCAGAGGAGGATAATAAATAATCTTAAAATTCTATTTCAATTCAAACACATCACAATATTCAAACATGTTGCTTATTATGACTATAAAAACATTCGTCTTATTTCCCATCTAATTGTATTTGGTTGCTAATACGCATAGTTTTATTTCTGAATGTACATTATCCTATATTGATTTTTATTTCTAATATCTAATCGATTCCACACATCTATATAAATGAAGGAAATAAGTTTTGTGAGTAGTGACTTGATATGATTATGAGCGCCAATAGTTTGTGGTCGAAACGTGGTCATCAGTTAATATTACTGTACAACAAACACTGTGTGACTTATCAAAATAAAATCTTATCCATAATGTTGTTATACTCTACCATAGTGCCCAAGTACCCAAGTCATGGAGAGATATTCTGAATTAAATAAGCAACAGTAAGGGATGGACACCGAAGTCAAATGACCTTGAACAAGGAATCAGACCCCTCAACAGTACAAATAAATGCTTTTTGTAATCTTATTTGCAAGTTTCATTCTACCACAAATCTACTTCGCATGATTCACTCTAACCTTGACAACAACCTTCAAACTACACTAACTTCAACCTTGATTCAGGATGAAGTTTGCTACAAAGATTATTCAAGGCGTCCATTTGTTATGCACAGCGACTTGATTGGTTGCTTCAAGATCGCTTGACCTTTAAGTATGTTGTGTGATTGTTGCCATATCTGACGAGAAAGAAGCACACAAAGAGTTGAAAGTAGGTCATGAAATATAAAAATTAACAAAATAAACTATCTGGAATTAAAAATACAATAGCTGACACTTAGACCAATGTAATAAGACAGGCTGGATAAAATAAAGGGTTTCTTAACACACTAAGTCCAGGATTATCCTTATAAACGGATAAATGTCACAGTTGCATGAAGAATATGTAGGCGAAATTCTTTTGAGCAGCTTGATCTTGGTTTATATATGCTTTTGAAAGAAGTCTATGGATGACAAATGTTTGATTATGGGAAATAATAGGGTAGCAACAAGCCTCCACGACATGTTCAATGATGTATATTCAAAAAATAACTTTACCATCGACGAAGAGGATAATCATAGTATTTTATTCCGAGACGTCTTTTCGACTAAGAAGAAGAATGGTATATTAAAAAGGCGTGTATAAAGGAAACCTATAATAACTGGTCAGCGAACACATGTTCTGAACTTTGCACCCTTGAAATTTGAACACAATCTTGTAAAGCATTTATATCATAGAGTTAGAATAATCTGCTCAGACGACTCATTCAACGAGTAGCTTTACATTTTCAGTCCATAACTATGTAGAATTGCTTATCCAGATCAGTTTATTGATAAAAATATGAATTTACCACCAACACAATTCACTATAGCAACAACTCCAAAGGATCCCTTGTTCATAACACTGAAGATTCTTGGTGATATAATAGGCGTTTAAAGAATGTAGTTAAAACAGCGTTCAATACAACACTGGTCTCCTCACTACGACCCCTATTTTATTTCCGAAAAATAAGTTCAAATTGCCATTTCTTCTTTTTGTTGATGTTTCAATATCATCCTAAGTAGTTAATCTCACCTTGTAGGTAGGGAATATAAGATTGATTTTAATAAAGCACTAAAATTTATCTCATCCTGACTGATATTTATTTCTCTTTATGGGGTCGTCTTCTGCACACAGCTGAAGCCATTTGAATTCACCTGAATAAACCTGACTTATGTGTTAAGAAGATATTTGTGCATCTACTTTTCTTAAATGGCACTTCATTTTCCCCTTACTCTAAGCCCTTTGCAAGTAATAATTGACCTCGTTATTGTACCTTCCTGAGTGCTTCATATTTAGTTGCTCGTTATGCAACCAGTTCGTCGACTCATTCATTCCTTAATTTACAGTTGTATCTACACTTTGATGGTTGCAGTAATTTTCTTATATAACTATCACTCATCTCAACATGGTGACATTGAGCACTTATAGTGAATAAACTTATCGCTCCTATTAATAATTTTCGTATTGTATTAACAATGATATATATATATATATGACTAGAGCTATATATGAAGATGTAATAAAAAAGTGAATATTCAAGTATCAGTCGGCGGAGATGTGATTTGTTTCATCTTGAGCTTACATCTGTTATAGAACAACCGGAAAACTTGCGAGTACTAAACAGATGCTTCCTCCCAGTTTGAGTCTCTTCATCAGCACGCGCCCACCGGGGTTCCAGTTACAAGACGAGCTTGCAGATCACTAAATCAGTGGGAGCCAGGCCAGTGGTCAGCCCATGAATTCCAACTTCTGCCAATTCACTACATAACACGACTACTAGTCAGTGTCATCTCTGGCGACCATTTTTCCTCACAATCGACCTACTCTACCCTAATGCTTGGTATCGAACCACTGCAAGTGCATACTGATGAAGAGTCCCAAAGAAGGCTGACAAAACAGATGTCCAGTACTCCTAGGTGGCTTTTCAATGGTTCTATAACCGATTTCAGCTCATTATGAAATCCTGGAAGAATCCTGTGAATATTTCTCCTATTTCAACGATTTTTTTCTTCTGACAGTATTTTCATAATTTTCTCCACTTATTTCGAGTATATACTGTCTTATACTTAAATAAACGCTAATATCTTCATATTTTAGTATGCTGGGCAAAATATGGTAAGTGACGCATAATTTAATTACTGTACACAACGCTTAACTGATTTTTGCAATACTTGTTACTTAGATGGATTCATTGAGAAGAGATTCAGTATCTAACAGCCTACAAGTTCTAATTGAAATTCTTCACCTGTTCATTGTCGTATACATTATACAGTTATGTAGTGGAAGGTGGACGTAGGTTATTTTCTGATAAATATCGCGGAATATACACATTTGATCATACGGAATAAAAAGGTAATTTCAGCGAAGAAAATTTTCTTTTTGACGAAATCATCAACTAGGCTGTACACTCGTGTATTTATGAAAAATGGGTGAGGGGAAATTCTCAGAATAATTTCTGGTCAAGGGTCAGATTAATGAAATGACAATTAGGAATTGGGCCACTTCAAAGTGTATATAACAGTTTACTTGCTCTTGAGGTGCTGAGTACATCGGCCGTGCCACGCGCCAACTTGAAAAACGCGCTAGTAAACTCTATCTAGCCTGGTTAGTAAGAGGAGAACAAAATCATGCATATAGTTCAGTGACAGAACATCTGGTCAATTTAGGATATTCCGTGCCATTCGAAAAATCCTTCAACATAATATACAAAATTTGATCAAACCTATCAAAGTAAGTAAAATTAGGACATCTTGGCAAAACCGAGGCACTACCTATCCAAAAGCTTAAACCCACGCCATGTATCCAAATGAAATATTTCTAACTCCTATCCCTGCCATGACCATTATAAACTGATAATACTTCCAAAAGTGACTAGCCCATTACCTTTCTTATCCAAGCTTCCAGTTTATTCATGTTATTTAGAAGTTTTTCTTAATCCCTATTTACACTATCATATTTTCATAACCGAACTTCCCGTCTGTTTTGTCATTTTGTTATTTCTAAATATTCCATCCCTGATTGCATAAACAATCATTCGTCACATTAGTTATGATCCCATCAGATTTTTTATCCAAAGAACTTGTCTGTTGTTGTTATTTCTGCATTTCTAACCCCTAATTGCACAGTATGTTTGTTTGAGTTTTATCCGCCCTTCCGCCTGTTTATTGTGGCATTTTAATTACTAATTGTAATTTTATTAATTTAACCCTTGACCAGAAATTATTCTGGAAATTTCTTACCCACCCACTTATCATAAATACACGAATATACAGCCTAGTTGATGATTTCATCGAAAAGAAAATTTTCTTGGCTGCAACTGTCTTTTTTCCCTATGCTAAATATCCATTGCTATCCTAATATCCGATGAATTTCAAATGAGTACAGTGATCTCATGAACACGAAAGCTAATTTACGTCCTAATGCCTACCGTCATTATAGCTTAATTTGACCATTACATAAATGAAGGTGACTCAAATACATATATATATATATATATATATATTTGGCAACATGAATAAAGCATTAAGATGCATCAGCACATCAGAAAGTTTTGATGTCTATGTAACGCTGATTATTGTTAGTTATGTAGGTTTATCTCTGCAAACACTGAATATTGGTTTCTCTAAATATAGGACTATTTCGTGTTAAGTTATACTGATTAATCAATCTATAGTTGATACTTCTCAATTGAGTTCAGTAGCTTAGTGTCAGCTGACAATAAGATCTATCTTATACTAAAGAAACGAGCATCCCCTTATTAAAAAACACGTATCTAACTGCTCAGTGCAACACGTTCTATAACGTCTCATTGCATCCTTTCTTGATGTCATTTAGGACAAAAAGCATTTTAGATATTGTGATCTGATTATCTTGAATTTCAAGAACAAATCATGTTGATATTCCTTTCATAGCTAATCACATTGCTAAGGAGACAAAAGAGAAATTGAAATGCTTTCTTACTCACCAGAAGACACTACTGTGCAATCCAAAGATCGATATACCGTAAGCCAACATTGGCTGGACAGTTTATCAACTTCCAGAGCTTTATTCCACTGATCCGAAAGAGAAACGTGGTACGTACATTGTGTTCTAGGATTACGAAAATCTGCTCGGAAGACACGGTAGAGAAAGAATTAAATTTATTGCGTGAAACCATACTAGAGAATGGGTATCCACCAAGATTCATCGACAAAAACGTGAAGGAGAATCCTCTGGTGTCAAAGATCACAACGGTTTTTAAGAAGACTCTCTGCATGAACCTGAAATTCAAAGGAGATATCACAGCGGAAATTCTCAGAAACCACCTTTCAAAAAGTCTGAAAAAGACATTCCCAACAGCCACTCTACGTATAACATTTTCCTGCAGACAGTTAATCAAGTATAACGTTAAGAACAAGGTACCTCTTTTGGCCACTTCAATGTGTATTTATCAATTTACTTGCTCGTGTGGAGCAACGTCAAGTTCACAAACGTATCCTGGAACACTGCCCAGCTTGGTTAGCCAGAGGAGAAAAGAAGAATAGCAGTAGCTCGATCCTCGAACACCTTGTCATCTCCGGATATCGAGCACCCCCACATGAATGCTTCACAGTGGTACACAGAGTCCCTCAATATCGTGTAAAAGGACTTCGGATACGGCATCTGTACATAGCTGAGGCATTAGCTAGTCGAGACCTAAAACCTGACCTATGCATACAAAAACGATACATACATTCTCTGGCCCTACCATAGCCAGAGTAAATTTCTTACTATAATTTTGCTTCTTTGTTTTAATATGTAAGTTCACTATTATTATTATTATCATTATTATTACTGTTCTTAATACTTTTATTATTATTATTCCCGTCATCCACATTTTATTACCACTCTATTACTGTTTATTAATAACATTGTTTTTTCACACAGATTATAAAATTATACAAAATTAGTTTATAGTCTTTCCACTAGTTCCTGTCCATTCTACACTAGCTTATTGATTAGTCATTACCTCACTTGTTAAGACATGCCAACTTCTGTCTCATTTCTAACTTACAATTAATCATCCCTTCTTACACCTTATTACACTATGTAGTACAATTTTCCAGGACAAAGTTTACCAGTATCTGATTGGTGTAAAGATTTCTGTGTTAATTATAATTACGATGGTACAGCTCATGAAAATGAATCGTCGAAAAGAAAATTTTCTTCGCTGTTTGTGCCTTTTTCTTAGAAATAAAACTACTCTGTAAGTTCGATACATATTCTTGATTCGAGGAGCCATACTTTGAACTTTATGAAAATCATTGAGTTCCTTTAATGCAACAGGGTGCTCGTGAGAGTTATAAGGTTTTATAGTGTGAAATAGTCCCATATTATGATTTAAAAGTCAATCTGAACGAAGAATATTCTTTTTTGATAATTTCTTTTCGCTTACATATCCTATACATAATTGAAGCTGTTGCAATAAAATCGACTAAACCGGAACTTTGTATCCAAAAAGAACACGTCCAGACGCTGTTCCTACTGTGACCAAACTTCGATTGATGATTCTTCTTCTCACCAAGAGTGCTCCTTCCCCTTAACCTTCATGGTTTTCCTTTTCTTATTACTACAGATATTATTAATATTCGTCATAATTTATGCCCTTCATGCAAACATTCCCTCAATACTACCGAATTTTTCATTTTTCCTATCCGGACTTATTAGTCATAATATCTCTTTTTTCAATGTATGCCTTCATCTGTTTCATTTCACATATTCGTAATTTCATTATGAACCCCTCTCATTGCAGTCTAACTATCTCCTATTTAACACAGGCCGTTTTCTACTAGCCACCTTTTATAACCTTGAACTGATTTGTCAGTTTTTCCTATCCCACATTCTACAAATCTATTATGACGACTAATCACCACGATTGTCTCCCGTTTTACGATATTTTGTAATCGATTTCAGTCTAGCACGTTTCTTTAACAAATACGACTATTTATTTTGACACCCCATAATCACTAATCTATTATTCTACGTTAAAAGCGTATCCACCGCATAACTGGTCATTATTGTGACGCCAACAAATATTATATTTTATAATGGTAAGAACCTGAAGAGGAGAAATTATTGAGAAGAATATTCTTTGTTCAGATAGACTTTTAATTCATAATATAGGAATACTTTACACTTTTTTTATTTCCTTCACGTTCCCAGTGGAACATGGGGCTTAAAGCTAGTGGCTTAAAGTTTCTGTAGCAGTGGTGTTTATTTTACAGGATGGGAGTTTCTAGATTCATGCCCAACCTTTCCTCTTTACCAGCACTATTTCTGACTTAGCGAGGTTTGGAAGTGTGTCGGCCGGGAATTGAACCCCAGACCATGTGCATGGTCAGCGAGCGTCCTAATCGCTGTGCCACCGACGCACAACATAATCAGGACGAGGTGCATGCATATGGCACACAGGCTTCTTCAAACCTTACATACAACCATTACGTCGCGTACTATTCCATCGTCCTTGGTAGATCTAGCATCAAAAGTCACGAGAACACCATCAGAGGATATGACAGGCTAGGTACCCACAATTTCACACTACCAAAATATTAAAGGAAAACAATATGTTCTACTGATTACGCAACAGTATAGTACATATAAAAACAATCGTAACGACGACTTCTGATTGCAAGCAGTAGGCTTTCGGATTCCCAGAACTTCGCATCGAATGCATTTCAATAGTATGTGTTTCACAAAGTAGTCATACATGATGGAATGTTAGGAGATAATATCTTCACTTACCATAGTTTACCTAAAAAAACTGAAATATGAAGATGTTATTACTAATCATTTGGTTGTAAATGGCATTTACTCATGCCAGTATTTACCTGTTCATAAGTCTAGCAATAACGAAATTAGAACAAGACATATAAGCGAACAGTATTGTTGTTTCCAATTAGATCTTCTTCAGGCTTTACTCTAATTTACATAGACTTATATATAAAAATTTTTAACCAACAACGGTGATTTTGTGGAACAAATAATAATAGTAATCATAATAATACAAATAATAATAATAGTAATAATAATGTGGTAAATGTTTTGAACGAAGTTAATAACGATGATTATAATAATAACAAATTATTGATAATAAGGTTTATACAGTTGATAAGACTAACAAAGATAGTATATGCATATATGTAGTCAATTCAATAAATAAATAAATTAGGTCAAATCAAATGGAACGATAATCAGAGTTTAAATAAATATCATAAACCTACGAAGGAGATGGATGATAAGAAGGGGTGGGAGGGTTTTGAATAGAATTCGCCTAGGCGAAACAAGCGAGAGACAAAGGTAGAACAAACTTCATTTGTTGTATGCAAAGACTAGGATTGTTCTCTCGAATGAATTCCCATAGCTTCTTCGGTTAGGTGTAAAAGACGGGTTCTAATTCCGTTCGAAAGACTTGATGGAATGCGATAGATAACTTTGAAGGCACTATTTTATTTCCTCCACTTGGTTACCGCTATCAGCAATCCAATGAGCCAAAATAGAACTTCGTATGGATTTTATTTGACCTTTCCCATTGAACTATAAGTGAAGGAAGATGCTCATTAATGTGTTTGTTTTATAAATTTACATTCTTCAATTTTCAGGGAATTATTCAGTGGGAAGTTTTTCGGGTTAACTGCAGCATAGTCAATTGCAGAAATGTGCTTCATTGGAACAGATGAGTGATTCAGTGAACATGATCTGCGCTCATCTGTTCAAACCAAATGTCACTTGCAAAAACGACAGAAGAAGAATTTTACAGACATTTTAACATACATTTTGAAAAAATAAAAATAACTTTGCATACATGTCACATTCTACGAAAAAAGAACTATTTGTTATAAGCAGTTAATTGTGCTTAAACTGTCATCCAATTAAATAAGACTATATCGATCTTCCTTTTTGTTTTCATCACATACAACCTGCCAATAATGAAATATTATTATTATTTAATAATATACAGTTTACAGTTTACAATTTATTTAGGATAGTAAGCTGTATGCATGTGTTAATCCTTTCGATTTATTGCATACAGGAGGTCCAATCTCGCCTTGAATGAATCAACGGATGGCGCTGATACGAGGTGTTCCGGTAGAGAGTTCCAATGGTTCACAATTCGATGCGAAAAACGGATCTCCAGACGCAGACGATTCGACTGTGGTTTTTGAACCTTGAGGTGATGTCCTCGCAATTGGTTGGTGCTAGAAGGAAGAAATAATTTAGATAAATTAGCTCCAAAATCGTTTCTTAGGATACGGTATGCTAGTATTAGGTCACCCCTATATGTATATCAAACTGCTCATTTTCAACTCTCACTTCAGCAGTCAAAAAGAATACACCCTATCCTACACATGAGGCTGAAATAGTAACATCGGAGAATAATATATATTTTTTTATTACAGCTTGATTCCACACCGTATTTTTGGTACACGTATGGAATTTTCAGCATGTGATATCAGTAGCTCAAATTTTGCGGGCCGACCATAGATATCAGATGTGCGTCGGCAGGGGGATCAAACCACGGACCATGTGCATGATCGGTGGGAGTCCTAACCACTGAGCCACCGACGCGCAAGAACATAACTCTGATTTTCCACAAGTTAGTACTTTTACGTAGTTAAGAGAAATTCTGTGTTATCAAAAATATTTATAGCAACCTTGGGAATTTCACCAATTCCTATCTTCACTCCACTCTGAAATGAAGATGGCCAGAAATAATTAAATAACAGAGAATTTTGACGAAGAACCAAACCACTAGCTTTTTTCAAAAATAGGCTGAAGAAACTGCAGATGGATTGCGAGAACCATCAGCTACTGTGACTACACAATCACTCGCTGGAAATACAGGAACAATCGACTGGCCAGCCACCTACATATATATATATATATGTCTTTGATTCCTCGAGCTACCGAGTAACACTGTATTTACTTTAAGAGATCATTGAAAACATCACAACTAGGAGGCAAAATCACAAGGCATACAGAGAATTTGTAAGAATCGAAATAGTAAATCCAGGAATATAGAAATTCCGGTTCATTGGTGATTGTTTGCTGATTGTCTTTGCCCATGAATTTGTGTACATACCACAAATATTCTTAAGAAAACTTTATAAATAATACTTTAGTGGAGTCATTTGCAAATGTTCACAATATTTGCAAGTCGGTGAACAATTTCTGTATCAGACTTGTCACTGATGTTAAAGTAGAGTTACACTAATCAGTGAAAAATTTTGAAATATAACTCGGAAAAAAGACAGCAATACCGTTTTAGATAGCTGGTTAGTGCATGTCTCTGACTCAGTACAGTGAGGTGAATGAAATGAAGCACTACAAGGTTTAGCCACTATTCAATACTACTGTGAATACAAACATCTCATTTCTGACCTACGTTTATCTCCCTACACAAATTCCAGATGAGTTCCGAAGAGTTCTGAAAGTAATTGTTCATCGACAAAATTCATCAAACTATGAATAATCAAGGTGGAAATATAGGTATCATGGATACTGAATTTACTGAAATGCTGAAGGAAAAAGTAGTAGCGACAACGGCAGGTCAGGAAAGGACAGCAGCATTAGAAGTATTCATTTTGTTTCGAAGAATCGTTTCAGCCTCAAAACCAGAAAATAATCATGAGAATAACTCAGTATCAACATACATCTCTTCTTCTGTTCAGCACATTGTCTACTGAAAGTTGTAGTTAAAGCGAAGGGTGATGAGTAAAATGTAAATCATTTACTGACAACACGAGAAGAAAGCAGGATTTCATCACAGGTCTGAAAGAATATTCATGGAATTTGGATACTTTGCTTACTAACACAAGTGCAGAGAATATTTTTCAGCAATGTTTGGCAGCGAAAGACACATGAAACAACACTTGAGTTGATTTCACAAAGGTGAGTGGTGAAAACTGTCTTATTGAAAATGATGAAGATAGGGAAAATTGAACAAAACACAGAATCCATAATTATGCAACAATCGGATTAATACCCTCACCCAGGTTAAACTAAGTACAAACACCTTGTGTACAAGTTCCTTCAAAGATATACCTCAGCAATAGATTCACTGAATCGAAGTAAATAATCGTAAGCGCAATCTGAATATCGATTCTGTGTTCCAAATCAACTGTGTGACAGCCAGTAATGTTAGTGATGGGCCTACACTCCACGAGTGTCAAAAAACTTGGCGAAGGTTCTGTGAAACAAATAGATGACCAGCTTTATATCCCCCAAATGTATGTGAACTGTCATTCACATGTGAATTCGCTAATACGAATAGTGTTTATGCTTGACAAGTAAAATATATATAATATCGATTTATAAACAACCAGACTGGTGCTAGTGAATGGAACATGTCGGGATACCAGGTAGTTTGTTTTTCTGTTATTCCATAGGCTCTTGATAACAGTGTGTGGTAGATTTACAGGAACTATAAGTAACGGCGTTCTGTCTTCTACTTTTTCGTACTTCAATGAAAAGAAAATGGCATAGTTTAGATTTTGTCCCATTCAGATATTCTTGTGGTCAACCACGCTGTAAATTGCATAATCACTCCATTGCAATAAGATAAAATGGAAAAGCGATAACAAATATTCGGGTTCACATCGCATTGGGAAACATGTGTTTCGATATTAGTCGTTGAAGATTTGAACAGGTCTAATTCATGTGCTTACTCACTATGTTTTTACCAGTTGGTCGCGGATTGATATCACTTAGAGAACCATTGAAAACCAGAGAGTACTGGACAGCTGTTTCATCCTAGTTTTGAGAATCATAGACACTATGCACCCACTAAGGTTCGAACCCAGGACCTTCCCGTTAGAATGCCAGCTAGTATACCATTGAGACACTGGGACACTACTCAATCCCTGATGAATTCTAACCTCTACCAATTCATGATTTAGCACGACCCTAATCCGTGATCAACTCGTAAAAACATAACTAACACTTACAAACCAAAAAACTATAGAACACTAATCATAACGATTATATCGTACACATAACATGCGTTAAAACTACTTTCGTCAATACGATACCGTGAAGAATTATTTCAAAATATCTTCAATGCTATGAAAACTACATTGGTTGGCAAGGTTTACTTCTCCAGGGATGATGGAATAAATGCACACACAATAAATCATAATTCATTGATTTTCAAACTAACTTGATTCATCGGAAAGACACATTTCGCCTACACGATTACCTGTATTATACTTAAGCCCTAGATGCCAAAAAATGCAATGTTAAATATTCTCACATTCTGATTAATTTGAAGGTCAATTTGGTTTTAATCAAAAGAGAACATATCAGATGCATTTACATGCTCAACATTTCATAAATTATCAACACATGCATCAAATACATTCACTAGAATAACACGGAAAGCTGAAGAATGCGTATGCATACGTCAAATAAATATGCAGATCATCTGACTTCATAGAAATATTTCCAACAAACGCATTAATACATATAAGACCATGTTGAAAACAACTTTTTTCAAAATTAAGCAAAGAACTACTGTAACGACAGAAGACAAGAGTCAGGCAACATATCGTTTATTGAGGAAATCAAGTCGGTCGTTTAATATATATAGATCAGAATCTTATTGTTTCAACCGAAACATTTCCAGCAGGCTTAAGAATTTCACACATTGCTGTCTTCACGTCACTCTGATACGTCGGTGGCACAGCGGTTAGGACGCTGGCTGACCATGCACATGGTCCGGAGTTCGATTCACGGCCACCGACGCACTCGCAAACCTCGCTTAGCTAGTAGCAAAGCTGGTTGGTGAAGAGGAAAGTTTGGGCATGAGTCTAGCAATCCTATCCTGTAAAAATGAACACTGCTACAGAAAATTCAAGCCTCTAGCTTGGAGGTGGCCCTATGGTCCACTAGGAACGTGAAAGAATAAAGTAAATCAAATAAAAAAAACTCCACTCCGAAGCTTAGATGTTCAGAAATAATTAGCAACAGTGAGTTATGGTGTTTTACGGTATGTCGAAGAAACTGGAGATGAAATGGGCATACATCGAGGAAACATTCAAGTGACATAACTTTCCAGGAATATCACAGTTTTGTGAGAAGTCATTAATACTTGGCGATTAAATACATTATGAAAAAAAAAAAAAAATTAAAAAAGATTTGTAGCTCAGGTAGCTGATTTTGATGTGGTTGTGTTATCTGAGCTGGACAGTTAATTGGAGAAGCTTTCGTCGCCTTACTAGGCGACATCTTCCTTCAGCGCATACTTCAATTTGAAGTGGGCTTTTAGATTTCTCTACGAGTTTATTAATCATCTCTCCTGGTGACGTCGTACACAAACCAACAAAGTCACTTCACTCACTTCTATGTCAATCAAAAGACGCAACAGCGAAAGAAGATAAAACCAACATCATCTACAAAATAAACTGTAACAACTGCGAAAAACTACTTTGGCCTAAGTGGACGTCTGCTTCGTCTTCGTATCCATGAACATAAGCTAGCCGTCAAAAGATATGATATCCGCTCCCTCATATCTCTACATGGAGACAACCACGGACATCAATTCGACTAAGACATTTAGCGTTCACATATTAGACAGAGGAAACAACAAGAATGCTAGAGAATTTTTCGAAGCTTGGCATTCCAGTGAATCATCAGTCAATAGACACATCGAGATAGACAAAATTTATCAACCGATAAGAAAGAAACTTCACACAAAAAGGGTCAAAGTTCAAGTCAAAGAAACAATCAGTTCCAATACAAGTAACCTAGAGGATGTGAAAACACACAAAAACAACCAATCATGTCCAAAGTGAACAGGAGTGATGGTTAATAAACTTGTGGAGAAATCCGATAACTCACTTCATCAGATTGAAGTATGCGCTGAAGATGTTT